ATGGTGCCACTGGTTTTCTCTGAAATCATCTCCCAAGCTCAAAAAAAGCACTCAAGTTAAGGCCAAAATGGAGGGAATATACCACCCTACCCTGAGAGTCAAAGCCTAGATCAAGACCTATTCTCAATGCAAAGATAGGGAGCTAATACTTTGACAGGGCTACCAATTTATCTGGGGACTCCAAAACTGAATACACGGCAACCCTGCTAATGTATTTGCTCCCTATCTTTGCATGGAGAATTTGTCTTCATGTAGACGTGGACTCTCAGGGTAGGGTGGGATATCCCCTCCATTTTGGCCTCAACTTGAGAGGTTTTTTGAGCATGGAAGATGATTTCAGAGAAAACCAGTGGCACCATTGTGTTCCTTGCGAACTTTTATACAAGAATCAACAGTCAAATTGCAAATTCCTCGCACATGTAACATCTCCATTGGGCCAAAATGCACCGATATCAATACCTCATATGTTACTTGGTTCCTCGAAAATTCTCCTCTTGGACTTAGCCTAAAAGTGTGGACACTTTTTAGCCTCCGGCGAAACCTAGAGTCTATACGGCTTCGCCGCACGACTAAAAAAGGAGAGGTAAGAGAAGAGGTGGGAGAGAAAGGAAGGAGGAAAAAAGAGACATAATAACGAGAGGAAAACGAAAAAATAGACCAAAAAAAAAGGTGAAGAGAATAAGAAGGAAAACAAGAATGAAGATTACAACAGGAGGAAAAAAAGCAAGGAAAGGAAGGAGGAGAGGTAGAAGAGGAAAGTGGAGAACAAGAAAAGAAATAAGAAGCACTACCTGTCTGCCTAGGAGCATTAATAGGACATACGTTGATTCTAAACTGAAAATTAGCCTAAAATATCAGCTTCTTGTTGAAGAATGTAGTCCGATTGTTCAATCCTCTGCCCATAATCATGCTGATGTGGTTTCAATTTTTAAGCTGCATTGCATTTCTTTGAACTTTCTCAATAATTCTTATTAAGCTAGCTGTGAGACAAATTTCCACAGGTGGGACCGCAGAGCGGTCAGGAGGCGGACCCCCTAATAATAATAATAATTCTTTTCACCCAAAATCACATTTCTGGCCCTCCTGAACATTTTGGGAAATTAACTAAAATCGATATTTGTAAATTACATTACAATGATGTCTGATACACATACAGCTATTTGCTTTGATTTTTGACCAAAAGAATGAAAATCCTCCAAGTTTTTTCACTGCATGTTTGGGCAAAGACAATAATATATACAAGAATTAGAAGGATAAAAGGAGCTTTTTAATGAAATTGCTGAAAAAGTAAAGCAATGATAAAATTCTGAAAATACATTCCTCCATTTGTAACAATGCAGCAATCGCTTTTTTATTAAAAAAGATTATTAAAGGAATTACCTTCCGAGACTCTCTGATCAGGAAAGGGGTCACATCAAAAATCAAGATGAATTTTAGAAACGTCCACTTATACATGCTTATTAGAGTGAAAACAATAGAGAGGAAAAAGCGAAGCAAAAATGAAATACTATCATGGAGGTGAAGTAATTCTACCTGTTGCGCATCATTAGTGGTAGCGGTAAGTGGATTGATTGATATCCTATTGGTCAGCTAATGCAAACATTAACATTATTTAACAGTGAGTAAAGGATCCTGCTACAATGAAATCTCAACTGTCCGGATTAAAAATAGCCTGGTAGAGTCATAGAACTAAAATTTCTAAAGTACTGACTGAAAATTGAAGAGAAATATTTGTAGATAATAGTACCCAAATCTAATGATACAAGGTGGGGAAATGGTGCTGGGTCCACACCATTTCGCGGGGAAATCAAAGCCAAGAAGTTCCAAAAATTATAGTTAAGAGTCAAAAATAAAATGTCTTTAACTCTAATGAGTGCCAGTACAAAACTGGGGGGGGGGGGGGGGGGGGCGTTTTGATGCCGTCTCGGATTTTGCGGCATGTTAGGTTCGGTTCACTGACGAATGTGATCTGCTGATGAGGTCTAAAAAGGCCTAACCCAGTATAGATCTCTCGCCGTGACTCTAACTTAGTATTCCAATGCAAACTGCCTGAGCTGAACACTCCCCCCCCTCAGTAATTTGTACTGGTCCTCATTAGAGTTAGAGAAATTTAATTTTTGACTCTAATTATAATTTTTGGAATTTCTTGACTTCGATTTCCCCGCGAGATGGTGTGGACCCAGCACCATTTCTCCACCTTGTTACGTACAATATTTGGGCCACTTCTTAGTTTGTTTTTTTCCCCCTTCCTCTCCTTTCTAACGATACGTTAACACAACGTAGATTTTTTTGGGTTTTTTTTAAAGACTATCCAACAATTATAAAACAGCTAAAATTGAATTACAGCATTCCCAAAATTGTGCAGAATTTTTCCAATTGTATGGTCTACTAATGTAATTTGCACTAGATTCTTACCTTGCACTCAACTACAAAGAGGGTTATTCAAAATCGGCGATTTTGCCTCCTCATGGATTTTGCTACCTTGTGGATTTTGCTCCCTCGTGGATTTTGCTCCCTCGTGGATTTTGCTCCCTCGCGGATTTTGCCCCCCTCGTGGATTTTACCCGGAGTTGGATATGTTGTTCCCTATCACAAGTTTTCCGGCATTGGCAAGTTCACTCAAAATTTTTCCCACGCGCTACAGCGTTGCCAAGTTGGAAACGTGAAAATTCCGTACGTGACATTAATATTGAGCTGTGAAGTTGCCGTTTGAACAGAAATTCTCTAAAAATTGCGCTTCATAAAGATATTTTTATGCTTCTGATGTCCTAATAATTTTAACATGCATTGTTGCCAATTTTTCGATTTTTAAATTCATCAATTGTTACAAATCCGCAATTATCAAAAAAGGGCTCTGATTTGATATGAATAAAAAATTGTGTGATCGATAGTTCGTTTGATTCTGCATCCACCGATACATTATACCTTGCATGGAAATTTTTTGTTCGCGAGACATGACCATTTTTGTAAACAACTTTTCAGAGCGACGACACTTGATGAGTCCAGGCAGATAGACAATTTTAGCCTACAAAAAGACCAGGTAGCCTTAATTCCACGGCATCCAATGTAACTTCTGACGTTGAATCCGAATTTTAACTTTTCAGCCAGGGATTGTCGCGCAAAGCTGCCAAATTTGGCAAAAATGGCTCAAAATCGGCCTATTTGGCGGATTATGGCCTGTGACTTGCCAGGGGTTGATCTGACGACAAAATTGGTTATTATTAAAGATGAAACTCGTTAAATTTGCAACAAACTGAATGCGATGTTTTCTGCTCACAACAAAGTTAAACATGCGACAAGCGGAAAACTGAAAAAAAGCATCAAAATCTACGCTTTTGGCGGTTTTTGTCCTGCAAATTTCTCCTTTTCCGACTGAGGGAATGATTCTGAGGACAAAAATTACAAAGAGTGTAACGAAAAACTATTGCATCTTTACATATAATATTAAGAATATATAATTGTAGGCTAAAATGTCTATCTGCCTGGACTCATCAAGTGTCGTCGCTCTGAAAAGTTGTTTACAAAAATGGTCATGTCTCGCGAACAAAAAATGTCCATGCGAGGTATAATATATCGATGGATGCAGAATCAAACGAACTATTGATCACACAACTTTTTATTCAAATCAAATTAGAGCCCTTCTTTGATAATTGCGGATTTGTAACAATTGATGAATTTAAAAATCGAAAAATTGGCAACAATGCATGTTAAAATTAATAGGACATTAGAAGCATAAAAATATCTTTATAAAGTGCAATTTTTAGAGAATTTTCGTTCAAACCGCAACTTCACAGCTCAATATTAATGTCATTTACGGAATTTTCGCGTTTAAAATTTTGCAACGCTGTAGCGCACGGGAAAAAATTTGAGGGAACTTGCTAATGCCGGAAAAAGGCGTGTCTTGTAATAGGGAACAACATATCCGACTCCGGGTAAAATCCTCGAGGCAGGCAAAATCGCCGATTTTGAATAACCCTTTTTCTCTCATAACCTCTGTCACAAATAAAACTAAAGCCAATCTAAACTAAACAAAAACTAAAATCAACATCATTATTGGATGTTTCTGAAAATGATAGAGATGACCAGATTTGAGCTGCATGACCGAATGGTATCCCTCATATTGCTTTCTTGGCAACCCTGTTGCTGACATCACCAAATGCATCCCTAATTACGTCAAACGAGGAGGGGGGAGGAGGGTTTGTATAACGCTATCCTTGTTATCCTAATGATATCATTAGTGGGCTTTCTGAAAGTCATCATTAATAGGGTTGCCAAAGATGCAATATTATGGGAGCCATTCGATCATTCAGGTCAAATCTGGTCATTTCAGTCAATATCGAAAACGTCCAATAATGACGTCCTTGAAGAAATCTTAGACGTCAACTTTTCGAACGATGTTATTAAAAACGACTTTTAATAAAGTTATTGGGAAACCAAGGTTGATGTCATATGAAAACCCTGTTGCTTTCGAAAGGAAGTAATCAGAAAAGATACGATAACATCGACACGGGATTTCTCAATGATCTAACCCAACCTAACTCGAGATCATCCTCGCTCTTCCTATGACATTTCCTTATTGGTTATTTCATCAATCAATTAGAACGAAAATAGCACATACACACGAAAATCGGCCTGGCTTTCCTTTGCATCTATCATTCATCTGATATAATACCATAAATCACCGTGACAAGCACACTAAGTACAACTTACATAAAAAACGGACTGTCCAAAAAAATTCTTAAACATTGCACTTTCGATAAAAAAAAAAATCTGCTGAACTCGAAATCTGGAGCACGCAGAGCCCTTCTTTGCAACATTAAAGTTCGTTTTACTGAACATTTCCGAGGGGCGCTCATCGGGAGGGAGTAGTAAGTTTTAGACAAGAATTATTATTCTTTTTTCTGAAGCATAAGAAACCATGTCCATGAAGAAACAGCTAAGTGGAAAAACAAATGGATTAGCTTTTTGGGGTGGATTTCAATTATTGGAGCCGGACCTTAATACTTCTAAGGACGCTATTTTTCCGCAGTGCATTGTTTTTCTACTTAGCTGTTTCTTCATGGACATGGTTTCTTATTCTTCAGGAAAAAGAATAATATTTCTTGTCTAAGACTTACTACTCCCTGCCGATGAGCGCCTCTCGGAAATGTTTGGTAAAACGAACTTTAATGTCGCAAAGAAGGGCTCCGCGTGCTCCAGATTTCGAGTGCAGCAGATTTTTTTTCTTTTTTAAACGAAAGTGCAATGTTTAAGAATTTTTTGGCGGAGAGTTTAGTTTGACACGGCAATTCTATTGGGCATGGGGAATTTTTGAAAACAGCATGAAAACAATGTCTCAACCTCTGCCAATCACTGAAAAATTGTCCAATTTACATTCGATTTGCACAGTGTGGCTTGTTTTTTTGCGTAGAATCGATTTCTGAAATAAAAAAGTAGGGGTGCCATTCGAAAAGTTCGACTTGGTGAAGCACCCCCCCTGCCCCTCCCGCAGTTTGGGAAAATGTCAAGTACGCCAAAAGGTGTCCCTCTCGATATAAACGAACACGTCTTTTACCGTTTTTCGAAATTCCGACGCGTTCGGCAGATATTCAAGGTGGCTCCTTTTTTGTGAGACACCCTGTATAATAATAATTATGATTATTATTTATGATGATATAGGTTAAAATAGTACATTTGAGGAGAAGTACGAAAGTAGTGCAGTTGACATGCAAATAATTACTTGCATCAGCTAATTTAACTTTTACCTAATTATTTTTTGACTGAGATGGCACAGTCAAAGTGGAGAACAAAAAACAAAAAAAAGAAGGCTCGAAATTGAACCTTTCTTGCAGAAATAGTGCCTTTGAAAGGAGGTGAGAGGGTGGTGCAAGGAAGAAGTGACCCTGCTGTTTTGTTAGGATACTCAAAAGTGTGCCTCCTTGACAGATAAGAATTGCTGATTAAAATAGAGAGTAAAAAGACAAGGTGAAAGAAACAACTTACCTTTTCCAGAGTGCGTTCATAAGTTCTCACACTTTCTATTAATGAGATTGCAAATGGATATAACGAATTAGCTAGATGAGCTTTGTTCATAATTGTCAACGGAATTCGGAAGCCAAGATGTTTTAGATTTCGTACTTCCTTGGAGAGGGTGATTATCTCTGGATGAAAATTGACCTGCCATTGCAATAAAAATAAGCAACGAGTCAATAAAACCAAATAAGGAGATATACACATTTTTGCGCAACATGGATACACTAAAAGACAGTTAATAATACCATTTGGTGATCAGCCTTCAATCATAATAATGAGCTGAACAACTAAATTTTAGTTTTCAGATGGAAAGTTGAAAGTCTACTGAATTATGAAATGGGTCTGTTGCGCACTAGAGGTACACATGTATAGATGGAAAATACTGGGGTGCAAACGATTAAAAATTACAATGAGCAAATCAAATGTCTAAAATTCACTCCTTCGTGCACAATTTATAAGGTCTGTACTCGCGTTTTCATATTTGTCACATAGTATGTTTTCAATACCTCCAACTTAAGCCAACTAATTATTTGAGGTCCTGTACATGAGGTCCTACAAGGTTTAGTTACCCAGTTGCAATTTTGTATTTTCTGCTCGCTTTTAATCGTGACCTTTGACTCTAACTCAAGCGATATTAGACAATCTCTTTTGCACCATTGATAGCTTTTACAGAAAAAGTAAAAAGTTTCATCAGCACAATAAGGTAACAATAAAACTGAATAGAGCAGAATGTTGTAGACAAAAAACCCTTATTTATATATCTTAACTGTAATACAGTTGCTCATTACTGAGTTACTGACACTGGGTATTGAAAAATAGAACTTAGTACCTTCAGTCTTAAAACGTTTGCTCTGCCAGAACGTGAGCGAGTGTTTTCAATGACAAAAATACGCCCTGAGACTCCTAGGTTTCTTTGCTGTACATTTCTTGCCCAATCATCGAATATATCAGCTGTGTTCAACTTCAGCCGAAAACTATCTCCGTCATGTTTCAATTTCTGTCCCTCTAAATGATTTTCCCATCCTTTACCTAAAAAATAAAAATAAAATAAATTCATTATCACCAACATTTTCTGACCTAAAAAGTTCGAATACAGAGAGTTTGTTCGGCACTTTGGAAGGTACAGGAACGGTTCATGTGTAAATCATCATTACAAAACAGACCAGTTTGTGAGAGAGCCATGGGGAGGTGTGACTTACATTCTTTCATGAAATTCAAAGGTACAAAAAAGGAGAAAATTTCCTTGTGGTGAGGCATTACACAGAATTCATGCTTGAAATCTTGGGACTCTGCTTTCATGATCTTTGTTGACACACCAAGTAACAACCATTTTAGATTCCTAAAAAGTCAAAACCTAGATTTAATGTAACAACACATTCTAATTCTTCTTGAGATCCACCAAACGCGTATACTGCCTTCCCAACAGGTGGCAATGCGTTTGGCAGCTCCACGGGAGCAATGCCTTGCAGTTTAAGCAACAAGTCTTCCTGTGTGCTGCACGAATGTGGTTGAGAACTGTGTTTGATGTATGAGACAGAACCAAGTTCAATTCCCAACATCATCATGACATATTCAAGACTGGAATTTTTCCGAAGTTTGTTGAGAAAAGAGGCCTTTTTCCTTTCACCAACTGACTGATTCATGGTTAAATCGAATGCTTGTTCCCAGCGATGACATCATTTCAAGGAAAAACTAAAATTCATTGTTAAAGTAGGGATGATGACACGACTGATGAAAATTGTCGTCGCATCAGAAGTTACTAAATTGAATGCTAGTACGACAAGATTTTATGGTAAATGTTATTGACGTAAATTTAAATAAAGTGAAAAGAAAAATAAATTTACAATGATAACTTTCAACCCTGTTGCCTGCGTTTCTAATACCTACATATTAGAGCTTCTCACATGAGTGAAGTTTGGAACAACTAGAAAACACTTCAAAGCAAGTCACAATATTCAACCAATTGAAAACCTCTAGTTAGAATTTTGCATTAGACACACATTACCATGATGAAGTAATCGAACATTTCATACGTCACGCTGTCTTTAGAGACATTCAAGCAGTTTTTAGAGGGCATCACACAGACATTCTACTCGCTCAACGGATTATCTACTTGCTCACACTGATACTCTACTTGCATTCATATGCTTCTCCAACAAACTGGGTGGCGATGGGATCTCACTAGTATACTTTTATTTTACTGCATGCTTTTGTGAAATAACTGTAAGTTAGTGAACTATTTACAAATAAACTAAATAAATTTTTCTCTTTAAATCTGAAAGCTACAAATAAGAACCATGACATCCTACAAACCCTTCATTAATAGCTAGCACAGTAGGACGAATTTATACTAAAAGGAACTATATGCATGCATAGGGTTTACGGGCATCATAGTTCTTTTTGGCATAAATTATGCTATTTTATGCTATGAATGCTATTTTATGCTTATGAATTATGCTTAAAGGAACTATATGCATAGGGTTTACGGGCATCATAGTTCTTTTTGGCATAAACACATCCAGTTGGCAGTGGATGGCCAAACCTAGCAAACTGTTGGTTGCTTCTGGATAGCCTTTGTGCTTGCCGCTCCCTGATACGTAGTGATACATCATCATGGAGAATAGTACTGCAGACATTTTATAGCGCACGTGCACACACACACACACCCCCTTACACACACACACACACACCCACACCCTCACACACACACACACCCTCACACACACACACACACACAAAAGAAAACAAAATGAGACATACCTAGAACATCTTCAACTCTGCGTAAATATGCTGTCAATTGCCTATCTATCTGCTTAACCCATATGATAGAACCAGAAACTGGGGGTAAATCTCTTCCTTGACTCATTCGACATGATTTACTTTGTGGGTACTGAACCTACATTAAAATAAAAGATGCAAAAATGATTACACAAGTCAATAATACTTTTTTCTTTTTTTATGGTGCTGAGCAGATGTAAGGAAAATCCTACAATTTTTACAGCACTGGGTCCGTAAATAACTTTGACTTTTCTTTCGTTCTCCACAATTTCTCCGGAAAATTTGAAATGAAGCATTCAAAGTGCCATTACTTGAAAATCAATCAACTGATTGACTTGATGTGACACGGTCATATCTCACTTCTATCTTTGATAGAAAATTTCCCCAATGCTCAAAAGTGCATTCGGCAGCGTAAAAGACATTTTAAATTTAATACTTTACATGGTTTCCTTGGTTTGGTCCAATCTTGAGAGATATGCAAAATGTTATGCAACACCTGGAAAATACTACACCTCAATTTGTGTTGTTGAACTAATTTCTCTGGGCGTGTTAACTTACTTTTTTCATGGTTGGGGAGGGGGGTGGGATAGGGGAGGGGGATTTAAAAAGGAGCAGGTCATAATGAGAAACAGGATGTTCGCTTGGATAGAAGAATAAGAGTGGGCATACTCCCTCAACACAAATCAGGCTTGATCGGTGTAAATCTGTCGCAATCAAATACTTCTTGTGAATGAAATCCTACTACATGTTAAAATTCTAAGGCTAAAATTGTCGCTGCTGTTCCAACCTCACCAATAACGCTGTAGAGTTTTGAGCTTACTCCCAGTGACACTACTCAGCACGAATTTGTGCACCTGTGTACAATTTTTAATTACGGTTCGAAAAATTAGGGTAAATTCAAATTCAGTCGCCAGTTGAGCACGCAAATATGAGAACAACTATGCAGGTACTAGACAGGTCCTGTCATACTCATTGTTAGTAACACTAAGAGACTGGCGAGATTAACGGCTTTCTTGGTCGTAAAACTAGAGTCAGGCTTTTGATGCACGATAGGTCGATCGCAGTATCCTCCTCATTCTCACTCTGCCCTGCTGCCTCTCACCCATTAGCTGGTTTTCCACTGTGTTTGCTTGGTCCTCACCCGCTTATGGAGTGACGAACTGCCANGGGGGGGGGGGGGGGGGGGGGTTCAAGCCAGGCAAGGAAGCTCTATACATCAGGGAATTCTTTAAAATTATAAGCTTAGAATTTTCTTTTCCTTTTCTTTCCGGGTATATAGTACCATTTTTTAAAACAAAAAAATCCTCTTGACTTCGGTGGGAGACAGCACACACCCCTCCTGCTCCATAAACACATCACCACCGATAAAAATTATCCGATTTTTGGTCATGGGCAAATGTGCGTAGCATTGTCAAGATGCCGCTTCATGGGTGCTTTTCACATTTAAATTGTTAAAGCCAAAGACAGGAAAGAACAAATCAAAATTGGGAACAAAGTTTCCCGGGAGGCTTTAAGTTAAACGCAAAGACTGACATGAGGATGTGGTTATTGATCGGTAAGTAATTTCAATTGAACTTTATATGAGAAGAAAAAATAGAGGAAAAAAAAAGAAGAAAAAGGAGCGGGAGAAGAAGAATATTAAAAATAGAGGAGGAAGAAAGAAGTGATGAAGGAGGAGAGGAAGGGAAAAGAGAGAAGGAAGAGAAAACAAATAGATAAAATAGGAATAAGAAGAGAAAGAGGATAAAGAATAAAAAAAGGGAATAAAGGGATAAAGAATAGAAAAAATAAACCTATAACAAAAAAAAAAAAAAAACAATAATAACTCTGTGTCGTGTTTGACTGTGTCTGTTATCTCCCAGGAGTAATCACTTCTTAGGTTGCTGGCGGCGGTTGCTCTAGGAAATTTTGACAGTTCGATGGTGAGTTAAAAACAAATTTTAGTAACTTTGCCATCAGATGATACCTTCTTAAATATTCCATCAATCATCTTCAAATATATATTATCCAAAGAAAGAGAAGAGGAAGAAAAATCTTCGATCTACTGAAAGTTCACTTCGTCTGTTTACCATGACCTAGTATCAACCTAGTATAGGAAGTCGCCTAGGAGGGTCTCTGGGCGTGAAAATGGTGTTGGTCTTATGTATAAATATATAAACACTAACTATCTATTCCTTCACCTCCCACAAGTCCTTATAACATATAGTTGAATTTTTAGGTTCCTCAATTGGAATATCAGCCATTAAACCAACAATATAAGAGGAGAATGAAAAAAATGAGAGGTATGAGAAGAGGCAGGAGAGAAAAAAATGAGGAAAGAGGAAAGAAATAATAGAAAGAAGAAGAAGAAACAGGCCAACAAAAAGGGAGAGGCGGATATAGAGGAAAACATGAATAAATACAACAATAGGAAGCATGGAAAGGAAGAGGGAGGGGTGGAGAAAGAAGGTGAAGAACAAGAATACAAATAAGAAGCACTGCCTGTCTGCATGAGAACATTACTAGCGCATACGTTGATTCTAAACTGGCAATGAGCCTAAAACATCAGCATCTTATTGAAAAATGTAGTTCGATTGTTCAATCCTCTACCCCTCATCATGCCATTGTGTTTTCAATTTTTTGGCTGTGCTGCATTTCGTCAAACTTTCTGGATAATTCTCATTAAGCTGGCAATGACACATGTCTTTTGGGGTGAGTAAAGCAAAAAAAAAAAAAAATAAAAAAGATCGATTTGACTGATCAATATATTCCAAAAGTATTACCTTAAACTTTTCATGGAGGGCTTCAATGTCATCTTTGACCCTTTGAATGAGCTGTGTTTGGTACTCTCTAATGGCACCTCTGATGTGAGGCCGAACAAATAATGCATTGAACCTTGAGAAAATCCGGAACATTTCGTTAGCGTTTTTGGCTGTCCCAAGTTGATCTCGTAAATGAGTTGTTATTCTTGCTTCTACACGATCAATTCTTTCTTCGTAGCGGGCAACACCTGCTTCCCAAGCTTCCGTCCCTTCCCGACTCATGTCTAAACAGTCCACTTCTTTCACATTTTCATAAGCTAAATTTACTTCCTGTTGCAAAGGGGGAAAAAATAAGGTCTGAGAAATATATTAATGACATACATGAGCCCAGAGTTAACAAACAGCTAGGAGGGACCCAAATTTTGTCCAAAGGTCTGAGGACCTTTATCCTCAGACCTTTGGATAAAATTTCCATCTCATAAAAAGATAATCTGATGGTCTTCTTCAAGTATCTGGCGAGGATTGGTTGAACCAACTTTGCTGATGTAAAAAATTTCTTTACAGCCATTTAAATCTTTCCTGAGAATCAAACAAGGAAAAAAACAAAAAGTAAAATGGAGGGAGAACTAAAAAAAGGAGATGGATTTGGTATAAAACTAACTTTTTAAGGCTTGCAAAGCGAGCTGACGGCTCATTTCATAAGCTGCCCTTAGCAAACAGAATCTTGAAATTATCAAGGAAATGGAATAAATTCAAAAAATGATTGTAAAGTAAGTAGGCAGATAGGGTGCTCATAGTTTGATTAGTAAAACTTGTTAAGTTAACGAGTGATTTTAAAGAAATTGATGGGCTTTTAAATCATTCCTAACATGATCAAATAGTAGGGTTTCCAATGGCCCAAAGAGCTAGAAAAGTTACAAAATTCACAACGACTAAGAAAAATCAACAAAGGATAAGGAACTAACTCAATGCGAGAGTTCAAAAATCAACAAAAAAACAGAGTAACAATATGTAATTTTAACGAAACTTAAAACTCTGACTGACGATAGAGCTTAGCTTAAACATTAAGTGTATCTAATTGACTGAGAATTCAAATTATGAGTTTAAAAGCAAAGATACAATGCATAGTAATTAACAAGAAATGAACCAAACTAGGCAGATGAGGAAATGATGGACAGTAGCTGCAGTATCCACCATTTTACTCAGATTCTTAAGAAAAAACTACTTTCTGCTTTTGAAGGCGTTCAGGGTAAATTTTAGAAACTTTCATGGTTTTCAATTGTATTAAAGTGTGAACCGTCATTAAAGAAGATTGCTTTGAGGATTTTTTAACAAGAAGTAGAGGAGCCGGTGCTGCAACTTGACAAAATGCATTGCACTCGAAGAATAAGTAATGGCTAAGCGTATCAAACCATAAAAGTAAATTCTCTTAATTTCAAATTAAGCCAAGATACCATCAGAATCACATGAAAATTCTTAGAAAATTACCTAGGAGTGTAACAAGCTAGTCTTGCATCTATTTTGATTACTTTTTAATGCAGAGTGTCTGAATTTCACATTCAGATTAATTTTAGACTCAAAAAGTGACTTGAAACTTACTTCAATGGCACTTGTATCGGTGGAGTCTAGAGGCAGAGAATCCACTTGTTTTGACTCATTGTCCACTGAGTTTGATTGATCATGATTTGCAGTTCGAGATGCAGCAAAATTTGGCCTGAGAACTCTTATGATAACAGTTTGAAGCTGCTCGTGTTGATGCCTAAAACGTCGCATGTGGTCCATCCTTGTTTGAAGCAATTTGTGGGCAGGATTGATTCGCCAACCTACTTTCATCGTTGGTTCATGCTGCTTCTTCATGAAAACCTCCCTAGAGAATCGTAAAATAATAGTGCAGTCAAAAATACATGAGCTCACTGGGTAGAATGATAGAGTGTCTGGCAAATTTTTGAAGTGAGAAGAAAAATTACGGAATAAATTTTTGGTGCTACACTACATAAATGGAAATTACTTCTTAGATGAAATCAATAGAACATAAAATGTGAAAGATAATGTAAGCTAATGTTACAAATACCTCAGTTGACCTTGAAGTCTATCATATTCATCATCCCAGGTTGTGAATACACTGAAACATTGTGATATAACTTTTTCAAACTCTTCAAATGGGATGTGCATTAATCGCCTTGTGCCTAGCACCTGCAACAGAATCACATCATAATTTATTCCATAAAAATTACATTNGGGGGGGGGGGGGAGAAAATTGAAAACCTGTGCAAGATGAATTCCATGGGTTCTGAATGAAACTTAGGACAAACAAATGAGAAAACGCAGCTCTTGGATTCTTCTTTTTGGGAAGAACCATTGATAAAAAAAAATAGACCTGTGCGATTATGGATTTTTCAATTCAGATTACAATTAAGAAAATTAATCGCGATTACCATCACTATTGCGATTAAAATCGGGAAAAACTGAAAAATTATAACAGAGCGCAATATTTTTTTTTTTTTTCCCGACTAAAAGCGAAGTTAGTTTTTGGATTTCGTGACCAAAGACAAAGTTGAAGTATATAAGTTCTTGAAGATATTTTTTTAAAAAATTTGAAAGCTGATAATTTTCCTCCAATATTTTTTTCCTTATTTCACTTGAGGTTCACTTGTTGTCTATTCTCGGCATTAGTCCGATGGGGATATTTTCGCGAGGTTATCACTACTTACAGTGCGAGTTTTTACCGCTAGGGGCTAGCAGCGCGCTACCGTAGACGTGACGCAAATTCGAACAATTTCGGGAATTTCAAATTCAAAATGCGGCACGAAACTGGACATTTCGTGGAGTCAAATGAATCGAATCAATCACGATTATTTTCTCAAACCGATTACGATTACGATGAAAAAAATTAATCACGATTACGATTAACGTTCGATTAATCACACAGGTCTAAAAAAGATGGATTCTCATCAGATGATAACTCGGCGTTATTCATGTTTACTTAGTCTCTCACAAGAGGAAAAGTGAAAATGAAGACAGCTGTCCTACATTATCAACAGAAAATGTAGAAGTTGTAGATGGAACAACAGGACATCACAAAAAAGATCCATCGCAACTTTACTTTTTCCCCCTCTTTCTGCTGACGCTCCCTGAATAATTCATAAAATCCTAAAAGTTCCCATACATTCCTATACTGTGGCAAGCTTAGCATGATTTATCCGTATATTTTACGATTGAAAAATTTCCTTGAATGCTAATTTGTTTGGACAAGAATATAGGTACTTTGTATTAGAACAGGGAAGAAATGTGTGAGAAATCAAGCTCTACTTATTTGCCTGACGTGAAGGTTGATTTTGATGCCTGATTCGGTCAGCATTAATTTAGGTTTTTTCGTGAGAGGGGGAAATTTGAATTTCCTGTTTACAATGTTTACCAAGAACATTCATTTCTCACTAATGAGTTGATTTTGGAAGTTTCCAATTTGTTCAATGTGTTCTACAGGAAACTTTGACAAGAAGACAGGTGCAACATTGCTTGACTTCTTGTTTTGTCTAGTGATCCAGACTTGTGAAGGTTGCTTCAAAAACTTCACAACAGATGATTATGATGAAAGGGATGGATACATTTTTGATGCAGATAAGCAGCAAAAAATGAGAAGCTTATTTTCAACCGAACCTTTCAATTACTCAGATGTCACAGCATAATTTTAGTACAGTAGACCACTGATCATCTGAACTGATTGGAACTGGACCGATTTGGATAATCTATAGAACACCAACTTTAAGTACTAAATAATGAAGTAGAACTCCTACCTCAGTAACATCGCAGTTGAAAATAGGCCAGATTGTAGCATTGTTTTCGTGTTGCAACTGTTTCTTTGTGGTTGAAGGGTGTGAATCACGCCACCAATGGCTGAAAGACACATTGGCAGCTGCATATTCCTCTTGATTGGCTTTTTCTAACACCGAATTCATCTTCTATTTTTTTTGGAGCTACACCGCTATCTATTCTTTTCAAAGATTCCAGATTCTGGATATTGCACCCACTCAACATTTTATTTTTTCATGACTAAATTTTTTACTGGAAAAAATTTACAATTCTAAACTGCTCCAAACTCATTTTTTTTTCCAGAATGCAACTTGGTGCATTTCTGTTAAACTCGGTCCAATGGTCATGTTGATAAAAATAATCTAGATTCATAAGATTACCTTCAAAAGTTGTGCACTAAGATCTCTTGAGATGGCTTCGAACAAGCGAAGAGCTCGCTGCATTGGATATTTTGTATACCGCATCTTCTTTAGGTGATTAAAAATTTGGAAAAGAGCTTGTCTGATTCGATCGAGTTCAGTAGCTGAGAGTAGATCATTGATTGGGAAATCCTTCATGAGCACATTAAAGTCGGTTACTTTTGAAAGTGTCTGCTTCAATCCTGATTGAGTCAAAAATGAGTCTGATTAGAAATAGAGTGGTAAAAGTTCTGCGATTGACTACAGTAAAATTAAAATTTTACACATAAAAGGGGATTAAATTAAGTAGGTACCTAGATATTAATGATAAAATGAAAGGATAAGGATGTACCTTGAATCAGCTCAATTACATCAGACACTGCCTAATGGAGAATTTGCAGGTGTCTGAAATTTGATGAATTTCGTTATTAAATGGTAACTACTGAGTGAACTAAACACGAGGACACCCTTGGTTCATGAATTGAACAATTATTGGAGAAGATATGACAAAATTATCTGATCTGCTAAAATACATGTGTTTAAATCGGCAATTCCGCCAGATGACATCCCTAGGCGGTGCATTTTCTTGCTTTTAAATCTATTTTTATACTATTTCCCATATCGGAAAAATTATAAAAAATACTGTGAAATCAGCTCTTTAAGCACTTTCAGATGAAGTATAAAAAATTTGCATGCAAATTCTCAATTTTCTGTGATATTTTGGGATGAAATTGAACTTTGAATAAAATACTACCTGTATCAGCATCGAAACTGACTGTGGCATGAAACCGTTTGCCATGTTTCAAGATTTCCAAAGTAAGAGCAACTTCAATACTTTCTCTTTTTTCTTGGATTCGATGTAACGCTCTTTCAAGATTCAACCAGAAGCTGATTTCTTGCAACGCAGTTCCATTAGTTGGATCCCTTTCTAGTTTAGTCACCTAGAAGAAAAAAGCAAATACTTACATAAAAGGGGAAAAAAGGAAAAATATTGATCAATACAAAGCCAGTGATCCGATGTCTAGGGATTTATCCCTAGATCTAGGGATTTTCCGGAATTTATAGGGATCTAGGGATTTTTCAGGAAATCTAGGGATTTGTTTTGATGAGGTAAAGTACGCAAAAATCGACTTTTTAACCTCAATTTTAGCTTCGACAATCGAAAATATTTTTTCATCTATATTTTGTAGGCCTTTTTGGCAACACTATTTTCCCCGTAAATAAGCCGAAAATTACCTAAAACGATTGCTTCACTCGATGTACTTGACATTCAACTGCATTCAACAGTAAAAAAACAATAAGAAGAACTTAACCAATATTCTTTCATTTTATTGATCTGGATTAGCACTGCTTTCAGAGAGCGGCAAAATTCAAACGAGCCAATCAGATTTAAATATTGCAAATCGATACATCGAATGACGTCATGATTCTACGTTAAAAATGGCGGTTTTTTGCAAAATCTAGGGATTTTTTGGGGATATTTGAGCAAATCTGGGGATTTAGGGATTTTAAGCGAAATCTAGGGATTTTTTTTCTTCCCCGCTAGCAATTTAATATCGGAACACTGTACAAAGCATATGTTCATCTTATCATTATCTTGACAGGGTCATTAAGAAATCGGGTTCCTCCTACCCTAAATTTTGGAGACGCACCTAGAGATGCGAAACTCTCGGAATATTCAAAGGTCACTGCGGCCTACCTTTTTGGCACATTGAAAATTTTGGGACGGTGTTCTTCGGCGCCTGGGTGGACTACAACTCAAAATTTTCAAATGGCAATCCTCCTCTGTTCTTCTTCCTCCTCTGATAGAACGCAAAACAGGCGAAGTTTTGGCATGGACTAGAGCAGAGGTCTCTGTCTATCACCGTTTCCAAATGGCAGCCAGTTACAGTTTTGCGCATTTCAATTATAACAGGCCACCATTTTAAATTGGTGACAGACAGGAACCTCAGGTTTGCACTGAAAATATTTCTTGTTCTTTTGATTGTTGTATTTCTCAAGGGTGGCTCAAGAAAAATCTTCATTTAGGGCGAGGGGGTCATTTAGGAGGGGGCCAAAATTGTTAAAACCCGATGGAGTGATACATCATTTGAAAGAAAATAAAGAAACATTTTTAGCGCAGACCGTATATTCCTACATGCCACCAATTCAAAATGGTGGTTCAATAAAATGATATTAGCAAAACTTCAACTGCCAACCATTTAGAAAGGTGATAGTTGGAGACTTCTAACCTGTACCAAAATTCTTCCATTTTTCGCTCTTTCCAATGGTGTATCAAAAGAGGGGGGTTGCCATTTGAACATTTTAAGCTCAACTTGGACACCCTCCCGGTGTCACTGCCTCCAAACGTTGGATTTACTAAAAATTAGACCCCATGGACCTAGAAATATTCCTAAAGTTTCATATTTCTAGATGCAAACTTTTAAAAGTTGGTACGGGGGAACCAAACTTTTTGAAGACCAGGTGAATTCCTAAATTATATTCCACCATATTAAAAGTTTAGATTCTATTTAGTTAGAATGTGAGTCTCTTACTTTTTTTATTTCTTTTATCCATCTGTTGACACCATTCTGAAGTTGATTCAAGAAAGAGGAATCTTCAACTTTGTCTCCGAAATCAGCTACAGTTGGCTTCCTGCCCTCTTCTGCACATTTTTTTATAACATGAGCGACAACAGGATGAACTTGAAGGGATATTTCTGGGATGTCGATGTTTTGTTGTAGATGTAGTAAACCCATTTCTAGTTCAGCCATTTTCTTTTCGACAGATGGTGCCATTTTATCACCGTCCCTATAAAAGGAAAAAATAAAAAAAATTGAATTGACCCATTCACAGTAATGCCTGACTGAGGTCTGACAGACTGGAACAGCTTCTACCGCACTGTATTAGTCATGCTGAATGGTAACAGGATACACAATGGTTCACTCGGAAATGCCCAACCTATGCTATGGATTGTGACAAATGTGAGGAAAATCTTAAGACTTGAGAGAAAATCATATCCTCAATAATGATACTGAAAGTACGTGGCTGTTCAGTGGCATAAACTTGTGTTCTGCTGCTTGTAGCATCTACATGTTACCATTGAAATGTATATTCCGATATTATATACACAGAGTTGCCAAAGTCCCTGACATTTCCCTGATTTCCCTGAAACATTTTGGTGAAATTCCCTGACAATTGAAAAAATGTCAGATTGATAGAAAGACATAGTTAGAAATGGTTTCCAGGGAAAAGAGCCTCGCCAAAAAGTGGTGTTCTTTAGCCCCTTTTTTTATACCCGAGTTGGTCAACGGGACAGTGCTCAAATGAAAGCTTATGGTAGGCAAACTTCCAGGAAAAGTTTCAACTTGAAGTGAAACCTCGTTTAGGCTGTACAGCGATGCCAATTTTTCATTTTTATGCGCTATACTCACGAAATACTGCATCATCACGGTTCAACAGGCTAGTACACCCGAGTTCGTCAACGGGACAAGGCCTAAACGAAAGCTTATGGTAAAGTAAACTTCCAGGAAAAGTTTCAACTTGAAGTGAAACCTCGTTTAGGCTGTACAGCGTTGCCAATTTTTCATTTTTATGCGCTATACTCACGAAACACTGCATCATCACGGTTCAACAGGCTAGTACACCCGAGTTCGTCAACGGGACAAGGCCTAAACAAAAGCTTATGGTAAGGCAAACTTCCAGGAAAAGTTTCAACTTGAAGTGAAACCTCGTTTAGGCTGTACAGCGTTGCCAATTTTTCATTTTTATGCGCTATACTCACGAAATACTGGATCATCATGGTTCAACAGGCTAGTACACCCGAGTTGGTCAACGGGACAATGCTCTAACGAAAGCTTATGGTAAGGCAAACTTTCAGGAAAAGTTTCAACTTGAAGCGTAACCTCGTTTAGGCTGTACAGCGTTGCCAATTTTCCATTTTTATGTGCTAAAATCGAGGAATTCGGGACTAATAGCCCAGTGCATCATAATTAAACAGACTAGTGCATCGGTCTACGAGCTGAATACTACCCTGAAATCGAATAGAAGCGCAACTAAGGGCCATCGTGAACTATTCGAAGCAGTGTTGCCAATTAATTATTAATTTTTTTAACATGAAAATAGGGTATTTTTGAGATTTTTGGCGGAAAACGTACCGTCATGGGCTATAACTTTGATGAGTGTGGTCCAAACATTACAACTCGATAGTAAATGCACTTATCTATTTGATTATGATGCACTGGACTATTAGTCCCGAACTCCTTGATTTCAGCACATAAAAATGAAAAATTGGAAAGGCTGTACAGCCTAAACAAGGTTTCGCTTCAAGTTGAAACTTTTCCCGGAAGTTTGCCTTACCATAAGCTTTCGTTAGAGCATTGTCCCGTTGACCAACTCGCGTGTACTAGCGTGTTGAACCATGATGATTCAGTATTTCGTGAGTATAGCGCATAAAAATGAAAAATTGGCAACGCTGTACAGCCTAAACGAGGTTTCACTTCAAGTTGAAACTTTTCCTGGAAGTTTGCCTTACCATAAGCTTTTGTTTAGGCCTTGTCCCGTTGACGAACTCGGGTGTACTAGCCTGTTGAACCGTGATGATGCAGTGTTTCGTGAGTATAGCGCATAAAAATGAAAAATTGGCATCGCTGTACAGCCTAAACGAGGTTTCACTTCAAGTTGAAACTTTTCCTGGAAGTTTACCTTACCATAAGCTTTCGTTTAGGCCTTGTCCCGTTGACGAACTCGGGTGTACTAGCCTGTTGAACCGTGATGATGCAGTATTTCGTGAGTATAGCGCATAAAAATGAAAAATTGGCATCGCTGTACAGCCTAAACGAGGTTTCACTTCAAGTTGAAACTTTTCCTGCAAGTTTGGGAAGTTGAAGGGGGGGGGGAGGTTGTGTAGGACTGTTATAAATTATTCCTAGTATTGAGAAGAGTAAATGGGTACACTCCTAGCACTAGTAGGACGGATAAGCATAACAATCGTGCATTTCTGGAAGAAAGCCTGAAACTTTCAGGATATCATCTTTACCTATAGAAGGTTCAATTTCGCAAGTGAGCCCAAAATTCTGAGGCCATGGGGGCCGGGGGGGGGGGGG